CCGTAAACGCGGGGCCGGGGAGGGGGCCGGGGGGGCCCGGGGCCGCCCCGCATTCAGCCGCCCGGGACAATATCTTTTCTCTCGCCCCGGCATCGCCGGGGCGTCCCGGCTCCCTTTTCCCCCTCTCGGATTTCTGTTCCTCTCTTAATTTACCATGAAGGCTAATTCCATTTCCATTCACGATATGTCAACCATCTCATCTCCCCATTTTGTAAGAGGAATTCCTGGGCCCTTTTAAACAAGCCCTCGCGCCATTCAGGCACAATGTACCGCTACAGCATTCCTAAAGGACTAATGAATTTAGAATTAGCAATTTCTTTCTAGTTGAGTTTAATGAATGCAGATCACTTTAACAGCATGACAAATTGCTGGATGGGCCGAAATAGACACCATTTAACCCCCTTTCTCAGCCCCGCTCCCTCGCCCAGCCCGGGCTGCTTTTCCCAGGTACCTCCTCAATGCCCCGGGGGGAACCTTGTACCGCTTTGTAGGAGCCCGGTTGGGCGTTTAAAAGGCTCAGCCCGGGGATTTGGGCTGGGGCCGGCGAGGGGTCCCGAGGAGCAGAAGCTGTCCAGTCTGGTGCTGCCGTCGGAAGTGATCATCGCCCAGAGCTCCATCCCCGGGGAAGGGCTCGGCATCTTCTCCAAGACCTGGATCAAGGCCGGCACCGAGATGGGACCCTTCACGGGCAGGGTCATCTCGCCGGAGCATGTGGACCTGTGCAAGAACAACAACCTCATGTGGGAGGTAACGATTCCCCCCATACCCCCAGCCCCGGCTGGCTCGGGGGGAGGCAGGGACGGGGTGCAGGGGTCCGAGGACTTTGTCCTGTGCTTGTGTGCCATCGCGTGACTTCCCTGTGCCTCAGTTTCCCCGTTCATGCAAAGATCCGGCTTCCTCCAGGGCAGGTGGGTTCAGGGGACCCTTTGGGCAGGAGATGAGTAAGGCTTCTTCAGCCCTTGGGGTGCAGCCAGCTCTCCGAGGAGCCCCGAAACGCTGTTGCGTGTGTCGCATGCAGCAGGATCACAGCCTGCCCTTCCCCGTAGTGGTGGACCCCTGGCTGGCAGCTGCCTGTGCCGCACACGGTGGGCGAAATCAGCTCTGCCCCGTGTTCCCTGCTTTGTCCCAGCCCCAGTATGGTTAACCCTGAGTGAAGCCGTGGGATTTGGGGGGGGATCTGAGCTGCCAGAGCACCTCACATTAATGCCCAGTGAGTAGAGGGGTTTTTCCTCCTTTGCTATTTTTATTTTTGTTTCCCTGTCAGACTTGCACTTTTAAATTATTATTAATTATTCTTTATTACGATAATAATTTTATGCCTAATAGAAATCTGGCTCACCTTCCCTGCCACCACCTTCCCCCGGGGGCTGGGTCTGGCAGGCCCCTTCCTCCTCCCCCCAGGGATGCTCCTGTTCCTGCAGGCAGCTGCAGGATGCTGAACAGCCCCTTCGGGCCGAGCTGCTGGTGGGGCTCTGCCAGGAGGGGGGATTTGGGCAGAGAGCGAGGTTCTCCAGCTGGGCATGGGCTGGTGGGGGCAGCCGTGCCTGCCCAGCGAGTGCAGGGTGCCCTTCCTCAGCCCCGCTGTGGATGCGTGGTCCAGCACCGTGAGCAGGATGGGTTTGGGCATCTCCTGTCGGCAGCAGCTCCCAGCAGGGTCCCAGCCCTGAGGCTGTGCTGGCTTTGAGCTTGTCCCCGGCCAGGGACAAGTGGCAGGAGGTGGAAGGGCTCAGCCCACTGCGGGCAGCATCGCCACCAACCGCTCTCTCCCCCTCCCAGGTCTTCAACGAAGACGGCACGGTGAGGTACTTCATTGATGCCAGCCAGGAGGACCACCGCAGCTGGATGACCTACATCAAATGCGCGCGGAACGAGCAGGAGCAGAACCTGGAGGTGGTCCAGATCGGGAACAGCATCTTCTACAAGGCCATTGAGGTAAGCGGGACCGGGAGGCAGCCAGGCAGCTCCAGGAGGGGAACAGGGTGCTGTGACACCCCACCCCAGAGACCCCCCTTGTTCTTTGGGCTGTTATTAGGGCATCTGTGGGAGCACAGGGTGGCTTGGCTGTCCCCGGCACCCAGACCCGCTAGGACAGGTAGACACCACGGTGAATGGCTGTTGAATGGGCTTCAGGGACCAGCAAAGGGCCTTTCTGCTCTCTGTCCCCTTTCTGTGGGCTCATGGGGTGACGTGTGCTGAGCAGAGGGAGAGCAAACGCTGCCCAAGCCTGTTTTGGGGTGTAAAGCATGAAAAGAGGTGCATTCCTGGCCCAGCCGGCGCTTTGGACAGGAGTGGGGTTTTGATGCTCTTTTGAAAAAAATGGGGGTTTTTTTGTGCAGAACCTGCTTTTCTATAGCAGGGAAAAGTTTGGGGGGCTTCAGTGAAACCCCAGCGCTGAGTGCAGGCTGTACCCGACCCTGCACAGCTTTCGTCTGGGGAGTCGCAAGCGGCTCCGGCTGTAAACAGAGCGGAGAGGAGGATCGGGGCTGCGGGAGCCGAGCAGGGAGCCGCAGCGCCGGCAGGGTGCCATGCTGGTGCAGCTGTGCCGTGGGGAAGGGCCTCATCCTGCCCAGCTCATCCACACAATCCCATACAAAATACTGGTGGGCACTGGCCCATGGGGGACCAGGGGCAGGCGCTGGGTCCCGGGGGTGTCCCAGGGCACAGGCTGCAGTGCTGTGGGGTGAAGGTTGGACATACCTCCATCCCACCGCTTCCTGCAGGAGATGCTGGGATGGAGGTTGGTGTCTGGCTCTCTGGCAGCGTTGATGCTACGTGCATGCAAGTCCCGCAGTGCCAGTGGTGTGACAGTGGGGACCAGCCCTGCTTGTGTCCAGTGTCCCCATGACCCGATGGTGTTGCAGGTGGTGGAAGGTGGTAGCTCGGGGAGGTGACCTCATGCAGGTGCTTCAGCTTAGAGTTGTGGGAGGGAACATGTCCCATTCCAGCCCAGCACTGTGGGACTGTCCCTCTCCAATATCGGGTCCAGAGTCTCATAGGCTTCTGCGGCTGCTCGCAGCTGGGAGAGGGTTTTAGGTGGGAAAGAGCGCGAGTGCCCACTGGTTCGGTGGGCAAGGGCAGCTCCCCGGATCTGTCTGGGCTCCTGCGCTGGCTTATAGATGCTCCACGGCACAGCACCGCAGCATTATCCTGCATTGAGACAGCATCAGGGCTGGATTTGGGATTGCCGCAGTGGGATGGGAAAGGCAAGTGGGTGGGTAAGAAGAGAACGGGTGTTTTCTTCCGCTGTGGGAGAGTCCCATGTACCTCCTCAGGACGCTGCTGCCTGTCCCCATCCAGCACCGCAAGAGCCCCACGTGTGCCTGTGCTGCTCTCCCCGTCCTGCACACCCCTCCGTAGGCTTCAGCTGTACCCGGTTTTAAGACCTGATACTCTTGTGGGCAGCTGCGCCTGTTGTGACAGCAGCTTAATTGCTTTTTATTACTGTTCTTAAATTATGCAAAGAAGTAAAATAATTCCCAGTAGCAACGGCGTAATTAGGAACATAGCTGTGTTTCTCACGCCTCATGTGTGCACAGCCGATGGGGCAGGTGAGCCGATATTTGGGGAGGTGCACGCAGAGGCTTCACACAGTCATGGTCAATCTGCAGGCTTGCTCCCTGGGCTGAAGCAGCGAGCGCCGGAGCAGGATGAGCGTAATTCCCTCAAGCACGAGCAGCGAAGTTGAAATTTTGAGAGCGATGGGCCCTGAGTGATGGGAGGTGAATGTGGGGACGAAGGGTGCCTGCTGTCACACTGTGGAGTGCTCCACGGGCATGGCAAGTGCCCAGTCGTGCTTCTGCTCCCGCTGCCGCGGGGTCGGCGTGGGTCCCTCCGTGCCGGGAGGAGCAGAAGGGGTCAGGGCTTTCTGTGTGAGAGTGCAAGGAAGAGAAGCATGGAGTGCGCGAGGAGCTGGGTGACAACTGGGCACGATAGGTCGGGGATCTGCATCTTTGATGGGGTCCCCGTTCCCAGCTGTGCAACGCGCCTGCAGGCACGCGTGCGAGCACACACATGCAGTCCAAAACCCACCGCTTGTTCAAACTCATTGGGGTTTGCGCATCCAACAAGAAAAGGAAAAAGCAAGAGAGGATTTTCCTTTTGTGGTTCCCTCTCTGCTCATTAATCCCCGAGCACAGAGTCACGGGCGCACGAATGCAGCACCTCGGACCCGAATGCGCTCCCCCCCTTGTCACCCACCGCTCCTGCCTTGTCGCCTCCCTCACCGACAGCTCGGCATCAGCTGGAACAGCTCAGTGTCGGGCAGGATATGCAAACACCAATCTGATCTTAGCGGTGCCCTCTCTCAGCAGCACATGTGTCTGTGCACGGGCACGGTTCCCCTCCATCCCCTGCACAGCCTCTTGCCCCGCACCTGCTGCATCCCCTCCCCGGTGGGCACCGCGATCTGCCTGGTCCTGCGGCTCCGCACCCACCTCTGCTGCACCATGACTCCGGTGCAATCTTTCTCAGGGTGCCTTTCTCCCCTACTCACCACAGATTTAAATCAGATTTATTTCCTGCCTTGTTCGCTATTTGCCTTTAATATTTTCATGTGTTTTGCCCGTTCCTGCCATTACTTGCTAGTTTGTTTTTTTTTTTTTTTTTTTCCCCCATCCTCTTCCTCAGCAATTCTCAGTTGCTGCTGCTGGAAAATAAAGTGAGGGCAGCGAGTTTTCACCTTTGATCTGAAGGCCATGAGATTCCTGGGGGGCAATTTAAATTGCTTTGGGGGTGCACGCACATGAGTGCTCACCCGCTGCTGGCATAGATGCACCAGTGCAGGCAGAATAAAACATGCACGCACACACGCAATGGGTTTTATCCTTTTGGTGATATTTTATTCTGTTTGCTTGTATTAAAAATAACTCATTTTCTGTTAAAAGAAAATGACACCAAGAAACAGGGCCAATTTGGGATGCAAAATGGTATTGGCTTCCCGTTCCTCCCAAATTCCTGCTCTGCAGCCCCAGTGAGGTCTTTACGCAGACGGACACTTAAATTTATGAAGTCAAATTCCCACTGCTGTCAGGTGCTTAAAATTAGGCACATTTTCAGTATTCGGGTGATTTAACTTATGATCTTTCTCATGTGGATGACGCTTTTCTTGGACTACTCTGTGTATGGAAAGCCACCCTCTGAAACGAGGGACTTTCCCATTATTTTAAATTAGGTTCTTAACATGAGAGACCTGCAAAGGAAAAAGCTGCATATTTTTTTTATAAAATGATGTTGTTATTATTGTTGCCTGAACCGGTGCGAGAGCATCTGTCTTCCCAGGCACAGCTGCCTCCCACGAGGAGGCTTGAACAGCGTTTCTGGCTGCTCACTCCAGCCGCCCCGGCAATGCAAGAACATACCGGGAACAACAGGGGAAGGAGAAGTGCCATCGTTTCAGGGAAACGGGAGCGTGGGTGGTGCAAATCCCTCCTTTGCCCCTATAGATCTCCTTGGGCTGCTGCAGGCACCGCGGCTTTGGTGTGGGATGTAGGCAGCATCTCTCACCTGAGCCACACTCTCCTATACACCAGCCCCTGAGCTCTCCCCCTCCCATCCCCGGGCTGACGAGCCCTTTGCTGCCACATCTGTATTTCCACTTGTTAAAATAAGCCCCAGCAGGGTCGGGTGGGAGACGCTGCCCTATGGCAGGAGGGTGCTGATGATTCCATCCAGAGCCAATACGCTCCGCAGGAGCACTGAGCCGGGGCTCTGTGTCACGGCTCCCTGCTTTGGTCTCCGTCACTTGTGCCTCGCTGCAGTTCATGGGTCTACAAATGCTCCGTGCCTACAAATGCCACCATGTCCTCGTCTCGCTGGGCTGCAGGGACCTCTGGGTCCTTCACCCCAGAGAACTCGGCTCCATCTGTGTGCTCTGTAGTTGCTTATTTGTCTGTCATGTTGTTTGTTTCCCAGCCTGGGGGAGACCCCGGTGCAGGTTTGTGCTGGTGGCGGATGGTGCTAAGCCATGCTATCGCCTTCAGCGCTGCAGCCTGGGCCATGCTGTGCCTGCACATGGTGTGCTGGGGACAGCTGGCAGGTTCCAGACAGCAGCAGAGTCTTGCAGGAGATGGGATACGGCCAGAAGAGGTCCAAAGCAACCAGCCGAGGATGCACAGGGAGCCGTTCACCGTCCTCCCAACATCCCTGTTTGTATCTTTCTCTCTAGATGATTCCTCCGGACCAAGAGCTGCTGGTCTGGTACGGCAACTCCCACAACACCTTCCTGGGCATCCCAGGTGTGCCGGGACTGGAAGAGGAGCAGAAGAAGAACAAACATGGTAGGTGACATCGGAAACAGCCATGGGTGCAGCATCCCTGCCCGTCCTCCGGTCACCCTGTCCCCAGCTCTGAGGACATGGGGTGGTCATGGGGAAGGGACACACCAGGGGATATGTCAGGTTCCTCAACTCTCTGGGGACAAACACAGGGACTATGAGACAGATCCATACTGCTTGAGCAGGTCCCCTGTAATTCAGGGGGGTACCTCCAGGCCGGTTTGCCCATGGCTATTGCTGGTGTGGTGGCCAGCAGCCACTGCCCAACCCAGCTGAGCAGGGAGGAGGAGGGCAGGCATGCGAGCGGGAGGAAGGCAACCCCAACACACTGCAAAACGCCGAGCGGATGCAGCTGCTTACGTCCCCACTCTGTATTTAACAGATCTTTCCCCAAATCACCGTTGCCGGAGGCTTGTCTCTCCCCAGCCTTTCACTCTCTGCTTGTCTCGGTGGTTCCCCAAGGCGCTCCTCTGTGGGCAGGCAGCAGAGCTTTCGGGCACTTTTGGGGATGCTGTGCTTGAAGCCAGACCCCATCTGTGCTCCTCTGAGCGAGCCGGGTCAGAGCCCAGCGGAACAGGGAGGGACCAGTGCAGGGACAGCCTGCTGCTGCTGAGGAGCTCGGGCTGGAGGCCAGGGCAGCGTGGCTGAGGGTTCCTACGCTCACCTCCCAGCTCTGCTTGCGGCCCAGGGAGGAGAAAAGCGCTTTTTGTGCCTGTCTATAGGGGAGACAGGTCAGCTTGAGTGTTCGCCATCACCTAAATTTGCGGGAGGCCGTTCCCAGCTCTGGCTCTGTGCCAAAGCCCAAAGTGCCAGCCTGTGACCCAAATCTGCCCGGGATGGGTGTCTCCACTCATGGGCACCTGCAGTGGGCAGAGGAGCCAGCGAGGGGGCACGGGGTGGTTATTTAGGGCAGTCAGCACCTTGGGGGGCTCGGAGAAGGGATGAGCTGCTGTGCCGGAGGGCAGTGCCTGACTGTCCCCTCTTGTCCCCCAGAGGACTTCCACGCGGTGGAGACGGGGGCCAGCACAACGGGGCGCATGCGCTGCGTCATCTGCCACCGCGGCTTCAACTCCCGCAGCAACCTGCGCTCCCACATGCGCATCCACACCCTGGACAAGCCCTTCGTCTGCCGCTTCTGCAACCGCCGCTTCAGCCAGTCCTCCACCCTCCGCAACCACGTCCGCTTGCACACTGGCGAGCGTCCCTACAAGTGCCAGGTTTGCCAAAGTGCCTACTCCCAGCTCGCCGGGCTGCGGGCACACCAGAAAAGCGCCCGCCATCGGCCCCCCAACGCCTCCCTGCAGGCTCACTCCCCAGCCCTGCCCGTGCCCCATCCCGCCTCCCTGGCCCATCACATCCCCACCATGGTGCTGTGAAGCCCCGGCGCGACAGCGGGTTTTTGGACAGCAAAGACTGGCGCTGAGACATGCAGTGAACTGGGGGGGTGTTGGCCCTTGGCAGAGAGCTGGGGGGCAGAGGCAGGGCTGCTTTCTGTGTTGAAGTGGGGTGTGTGTGCGGGTTTATTTGTGGAGCATCACCATTTGCATGGGGTTTGGCAGGTTGTTCGGTGAGCTGGGGGGTCCCACCTCCCCCCAGCTCTGCAAGTCACTGGAGCGGCCGCAGCGTGCGGGACCCTCCCTGGGGTGTAGGGTGGGCTGCTGGTCCCTGGGGTTGGCGGTGGGAGAGGGGTGAGGGGACACAGCGGGATGTCCTGCATGGATTTGCCGGTGCACTGGAGGAGGGCTGGGGCAGCCTAAAAGCTGAGCCTGGATGGGTCACGCCTGGGTTTGACAGATAATTTGATGGAAAGAAAAATTGCTTTTATCCCTCCTCCTCTGCTCCAGCAGAGACACATGCCCCGTTGCAAGGCTGGCACAGCCCTTCTGCGGCCACCCCATTCATGTCTGTTTACCCCAGGGGCAGCTTTGGCCCTGGTGGCTCTTTCCAAGGGACACATTTCCCTCCTCGGGAGCCATGATTTAGCAAATGGTCACGTTTTCCCCCCACCAAATCCCCTCACCTGCCCTCCTCCAGCCCGAGCCATGTGTTGGGGTTTGCCTGACACCTCCGAGCAATGCCACGGGCAGAGGGGGACACAGGGACACCCCCGGCACGGTGTGCCAGCTGGAAATGCCTGTCCATGGGCAGGTTTTGCAGGGGACCCGTCGCTCCTCATCGCTCCCCGCAGCCGTGAGGGCACATTTCGGCTGTTCCTGCTACTGGCCTCTGGGGACAGAAAAAACCCGTCCCTGGGCCAGCTCTGTCTCCAAGGACAAGTCTAAGCGCCCTCTAGAGTCCTGCCACATGAGAGAGGAGGGCTGTGTATCATAAAGCTTAAAAGAGGGTATTCTAATATTAATTATAAGTCTAAGATGTATAAAGTTCTCACAAACTGTGTTTTACTTCCAGAAAAAAAAACACCAACTGTCACTTTAACTTTGTAAATATTTATGTAAACATTATTTACAAAACTTTGATATTATATATTATTTGATTGTATATGTACACAGTGTAAATACATTTGTACCTCTCTCTTGTATTCTAAATAAAAATTACTTGGAACATTTATCATTTAGAAGATGGATGGTTTGGAGAGCTTTATTTGGCTCTGTGCCGGGAGGAAGGATGCAGCGGTTGGCGGAGTGAATGTTTAGACTCTCTTGAGGTGAATAAGGAGGTGGAGCATCAAACGGAGCAGTGGGAAGATCAGCTTTGGGTAAAACAAGCCCTTTTGAGGGTCTGGAAGTGAAGGGGTGCGCGCAGGGGCGGGTTATACTTTATGTGTGGTACCCCCCCC